AAGGGAGATGAAAGAGAGGTAGGTGTGCACGTGCGTGTGACTGTGTGTGTGTGTGTGTGTGTGTGTGTGTGTGTGTGAGAGAGATAGAGAGAGACAGAGATAGAGAGAGACAGAGATAGAGAGAGACAGAGATAGAGAGACAGAGATAGAGAGAGACAGAGATAGAGAGAGACAGAGACAGAGATAGACAGAGAGACAGACAGATAGAGAGAGAGATAGAGACAGAGACAGAGAGACAGACAGACACACACACACACACACACACACAGAGACAGATAGACAGAGACAGAGAGAGAGAGAGACCGAGACAGAGAGAGAGACCGAGACAGAGAGAGAGAGAGACAGAGAGAGTGTTTGTGAGTATGTGTGACTGTGTGTGATTGTGAGTGATTTTAGTGTGTGTGTGAGACAAAGACTGAGTGAGAGACAGAGACAGAGAGAGAAATTGAGATTCAGAGAGCAAGTTTGAGAGTGCAAGTATGAGTGAAAGTGAGTGATTGTGAGGGAGTGTGAGAGTGAGTGTTAGTTTGAGAGCATATACATAATTATATGAAGTTTGGGAGTGTAATTACTTACCTCTCTGTAGTATCTGCATGTGTCTGCTTGCTTAAAGTCAGGGATACACAACTGGCAACCCACGAGTTTTACATGGATTAAGAAGAGGTACTGTAGTACAAATGTGACGTGTGTATTGTGTTTGCCTCTACCACCTCTTCGTCTAGTCACTATACAAAGGTGGCAGAGGTAAAAAAAAAACATATGGCCGCCACTGTGCTACTGTGCTGCCAGCTGTGCATCCTTGTTATAAGAGAACACATTAAAAGACATTTTCTATTTTTTTTTTACAAAGGCACAATTTTAGCATCATACCTCCAACTATAACATCAATTATTCCCTGAAAGTAAATATTTTCTTACCAACAAAAAATCTCTCTTAAGGCAATGGAATAAGACACATCACATCATCAATAGGCACTTCTTACACCTGCGAATGTGAAATTCTCTTGCTAGTGGTAATGCAGCACATTCTGAAAGTGAACTAGGATTCAAACAATTTATCAATGATCGTAAAACCAAGACTGCACGAAGTCTATCATGTTGCTCACCTGTGCTATTGCAAATGTAATATTAATGAGCTTTGTAAGGACATTTCTGAATATAAATGTCACTTTGGAATTTTTCAAATCTAAATTAATAGCAAAATTGGTCACATTTCTAGAGTGTATTAGCCAACAGCTTTCTGTAAACAAATTTGTACAAATAATTTGAAAGCTTTAGAAGAATTATTTAACAATCTAAAAATATATTTTTTATAAAAAATTAAAGATGCAAAACTCCTTCATCTTTACTGGGTTGCAAAGTATGTGATAGAGGTACATCAGTGAGAGAGTCCCCAGCAGTAAGATCTCTTATTTCATCTTGGTCATATCGGTCTTCATCTGAGGCGGACTGGTGTGACTGCTGTGATCCAGATGACATTGCTGAATTACGTGAAAATGATCCTCGGCGAGGAGTGTGTGACTGTGTCCTTTGATTAGCAGGCTTTACTGTGATGATCAAATTGCTGCTGTTAGCTACCATCATGTCTGTCACCTGCAGATAGGGTAAAAATATGAGCTTTATATATCAAAATAAATGTTAATCATTGCTTCAATATGGCCTCAATGATTTCATATCTATTATCATCATCCATAACTGATTTATCACTTATGAAGACGCTTGAGTCCCCTCCTCGAGCACTGTCCAGTCACAACATTGCGAGAAAAAAAAGAGAAGCCCAGATAAAAGATAGGAAGAGGAGAGGGGTTGAAGAGGGAAGTATAAGAGATAGAAGTAGAAGGAAAGATGAGGGGCAAGAGGTTGGGGAGGAGATAGGGAAGGTAGGGAAAAAGAAAAGAGGGCAGAAGCAGCAGCCGTATATGTGATGATGGTGGAAGTGGTGGTGGTAGTAGCAGAAGTAGCAGTGATGGTAGTAGTAGTGGTGGCAGAAGCATTGGTAACAGTAGCAGTGGTGGCAGTAGTAGCAGCAGTGTTAAATGAAAGTACAGTGGACCCCTGCGAATTCGTGGTTCCGAATTCGCGGCTTCAGTAATTTGCAGATTTTTCCTTAGAACCTAACTAATAACTGTTCGCAGAAATCCCCGCAAATTTGCAGAATTGTTTTTCAAGGCTAAATATTAAGAAAAATATAATTTAATAATTTTGTAACATAAATCCTCCACTTTGCTTTGTTGTGCAGTCATTATCTTCATCATACTGCACAGCTAATTCATCATCATCATCTTCAATCAATATCATTCATTATTGGTGAGTACCCGTACATTTAGCTTTACTTTTACTAACTTAAATTATTACCATATATTTACCATATGTCCTAGGTAGTAGGTTGGTAGACAGCAACCGCCCAGGGAGGTACTATCGTCCTGCCAAGTGAGTGTAACACGAAAGCCTGTAATTGTTTTACATGATGGTAGGATTGCTGGTGTCCTTTTTTCTGTCTCATGAACATGCAAGATTTCAGGTACGTCTTGCTACTTCTACTTACACTTAGGTCACACTACACATACATGTACAAGCATACATATACACACCCCTCTGGGTTTTCTTCTATTTTCTTTCTAGTTCTCATTCTTGTTTATTTCCTCTTATCTCCATGGGGAAGTGGAACAGAATTCTTCCTCCGTAAGCCATGCGTGTTGTAAGAGGCGACTAAAATGCCGGGAGCAAGGGGCTAGTAATTCCTTCTCCTGTATATATTACTAAATTTGAAAGGAGAAACTTTGATTTTTTCTTTTGGGCCACCCTGCCTCGGTGGGATACGGCCGGTGTGTTGAAAGAAGAAAGATTTACCTATGTATACTAAAGAAAATGGTGTTGCATGAATTACAGTATACCAAAGAAAACAGGCTTGCATGAATTACAGTACATATGGGGGTAACATCGGTATTTTACATTCTAGCACTGTGGGAGACATAGCAGTACAGTACTGTATACGGGTTTATCTTTACATTCTTTTTTTCTAAGGGTGATGTATAAAGCTGAGTTTGAAATTAAATTAAAGTTTTGGGGGCATATTTAGGGTTTAAACTATAAAAATAGGCATTTATAGGCATTTTTTAACAGCGTCCAAAATTCGCGGTTTTTCCAAATTTGCAGGTGGTCTTGGAACATAACACCCGCGAATTTGGGGGGACTACTGTACTGTACTGTACTGAAGTACAATATCTAGACTTATTCCCTATTCCCTTGGGTAAACTGTAAAATGGTAGTAATGTATATACTGATAAGATGATGATAATGACAAAGTGCAGATTATTGTATTTTGGCAAGATGTTTTGTCCACAACGGACTTTATCAATAAACAGGTAAGTCCTGATGGACGAAATGTCTTAATAAAATATACACACTATAATCCACAAAGTCATTTTTATATTTCCTTGGGTATGACTGTGGTGAAGCATAAAGAATCCAATGCCTCAAGAACAGAGCAACATATTAGGGAACAAATTTCTACAATTGAGAATTTCACTAACCTGATCCAATGTTTTACCATTGACTTCAATTCCATTCACCTCGAGGACCTCATCATTAACTGCCAAGAGGCCAGTGCTTTCCGCCAAACCGCCAGGTACCAGACGGGAAATGAATATACCAGGCACTCTTTCCAAGCCATGTGGAGTAACACGCACACTAGTGCCATCACGAATGTAGAACCCAAGAGGTTTATCAGAGCCGTGTTTCAGTAGCCGTACTCTTCTACAAACTTCTGGTACTACATCCACATCGATGATGGCTGCTACCTGTTTGTACAAATTCAGGTAAATATTTAAGCCTAAGTACAGTAGCAAAGGAAATTATCAAAATATATTTTAAAATTCCTTTCTAGTGGAAGACATTCAAGTTACTCCTTAATTTTTGATGTCTTCAAATTATAATTATACACGCAATTCCTGGTTAAATACAAAATGCAATATTATTATTTATATAAAAATAAAGGAGTAGGTAGTAGGTTGGTAGACAGCAACCGCCCAGGGAGGTACTACCGTCCTGCCAAGTTAGTGTAAAACTGAAGCCTGTAATTGTTTTACACGATGGTAGGATTGCTGGTGTCTTTTTTTTTCTGTCTCATACACATGCAAGATTTCAGGTATGTCTTGCTACTTCTACTTACACTTAGGTCACACTACACATACATGAACAAGCATATATATATACACACCCCTTTGGGTTTTCTTCTATTTTCTTTCTAGTTCTTGTTCTTGTTTATTTCCTCTTACCTCCGTAAGCCATGCGTGTTGTAAGAGGCGACTAAAATGCCGGGAGCAAGGGGCTAGTAACCCCTTCTCCTGTATATATTACTAAATGTAAAAGGAGAAACTTTCGTTTTTCCTTTTGGGCCACCCCGCCTCGGTGAGATACGGCCGGTGTGTTGAAAGAAAGAAAGAAAGAAAGGAGACAGAGGATGAGGCCTAGTTAGGAGCAGGGGGTTTGGTAAATAATGGTACATACGGAGAAACGGGAAAATTTCTCTGGATGTAGAACTTGGTTACAGGATACCCCACCCTATGGAGTTTTCAGTAGTGTGACAGAAGCTTTCTACTGATTTATCGGTTCATCCTGTAAAAATTAAATATTATATCAAATGATATGATGGTACGTTTTCCACCTTATACAAGAGTGGGAGGGGTACTAGTCATCTCTCAAGAGTACCTTATAATAATAATAATAATAATAATAATAATAATAATAATAATAATGAATGTACTAGGTAGTAGGTTGGGAGACAACAACTGCCCAGGGAGGTACTACCATCCTGCCAAGTGAGTGTAAAACAAAAGCCTGTAATTGTTTTACATGATGGTAGGATTGCTGGTGTCCTTTTTTCTGTCTCATGAACATGCAAGATTTCAGGTACGTCTTGCTACTTCTACTTACACTTAGGTCACACTACACATACATGTACAAGCACATATATGCACACCCCTCTGGGTTTTCTTCTATTTTCTTTCTAGTTCTTATTCTTGTTTATTTCCTCTTATCTCCATGGGGAAGTGGAACAGAATTCTTCCTCCGTAAGCCATGCGTGTTGTAAGAGGCGACTGAAATGCCGGGAGCAAGGGGCTAGTAACCTCTTCTCCTGTATATATTACTAAATGTAAAAGGAGAAACTTTCGTTTTTCCTTTTGGGCCACCCCGCCTTGGTGGGATACGGCTGGTGTGTTGAAAGAAAGAAGAATAATGAATGTACTAGGTAGTAGGTTGGGAGACAACAACTGCCCAGGGAGGTACTACCATCCTGCCAAGTGAGTGTAAAACAAAAGCCTGTAATTGTTTTACATGATGGTAGGATTGCTGGTGTCCTTTTTTCTGTCTCATGAACATGCAAGATTTCAGGTACGTCTTGCTACTTCTACTTACACTTAGGTCACACTACACATACATGTACAAGCACATATATACACACCCCTCTGGGTTTTCTTCTATTTTCTTTCTAGTTCTTATTCTTGTTCATTTCCTCTCATCTCCATGGGGAAGTGGAACAGAATTCTTCCTCCGTAAGCCATGCGTGTTGTAAGAGGCGACTAAAATGGCGGGAGCAAGGGGCTAGTAACTTCTTCTCCTGTATATATTACTAAATGTAAAAGGAGAAACTTTCGTTTTTCTATTTGAGCCACCCCGCCTTGGTGGGATACGGCCGGTGTGTTGAAAGAATAATGAATGTGCGTGGATGTTGTGCAAATGATAAGAAAGAGATGATTGTGGATGTTATGAATGAGAAGAAGCTGGATGTCCTGGCTTTAAGCGAAACAAAGCTGAAGGGGGTGGGAGAGTTTCAATGGAGAGGAATAAATGGGATTAGGTCAGGGGATTCAAATAGAGTTAGAGCTAAAGAAGGAGTAGCAATAATGTTGAAAGATTAAGCTATGGCAGGAAAAGAGGGACTATAAATGTATGAATTCAAGGATTATGTGGAGTAAAATAAAGATTGGATGTGAAAAGTGGGTTATAATAAGCGTGTATGCACCTGGAGAAGAGAGAAGTGTAGAGGAGAGAGAGAGATTTTGGGAAATTTTGAGTGAATGCGTGGGGAGTTTTGAATCAAGTGTGAGAGTAATGGTGGTTGGGGATTTCAATGCTCAAGTGGCTAAAAATGTTATGGAGAGAGTAGTAGGAAAATTTGGGGTGCCAGGGGTAAATGTAAATGGGGAGCCTTTAATTGAGCTATGTGTAGAAAGAGATTTGGTAATAAGTAATACATATTTTATGAAAAAGAGGATAAATAAATATACAAGGTATGATGTAGCACGTAATGAAAGTAGTTTATTAGATTATGTATTGGTGGATAAAAAGTTGATGGGTAGGCTCCAGGATGTACATGTTTATAGAGAGACAACTGATATATCGGATCATTATTTAGTTGTAGCTACAGTTAGAGTAAGAGGTAGATGGGAAAAGAGGAAGGTGGCAACAACAAGTAAGAGGGAGGTGAAAGTGTATAAACTAAGGGAGGAGGAAGTTCGGGTGAGATATAAGCGACTATTAGCAGAAAGGTGGGCTAGTGCAAAGATGAGTAGTGGGGGGGTTGAAGAGGGTTGGAATAGTTTTAAAAATGTGGGGCAGAAGTTTGTGGTTATAGGAGGGTGGGGGCAGGAGGAAAGAGGAGTGATTGGTGGAATGATGAAGTAAAGGGTGTGATAAAAGAGAAAAAGGTAGCTTATGAGAGGTTTTTACAAAGCAGAAGTGTTATAAGAAGAGCAGAGTATATGGAGAGTAAAAGAAAGGTAAAGAGAGTGGTGAGAGAGTGCAAAAGGAGAGCAGATGATAGAGTGGGAGAGGCACTGTCAAGAAATTTTAATGAAAATAAGAAAAAATTTTGGAGTGAGTTAAACAAGTTAAGAAAGCCTAGGGAAAGTATGGATTTGTCAGTTAAAAACAGAGTAGGGGAGTTAGTAGATGGGGAGATGGAGGTATTAGGTAGATGGCGAGAATATTTTGAGGAACTTTTAAATGTTAAGGAAGAAAGAGAGGCAGTAATTTCATGCACTGGTCAGGGAGGTATACCATCTTTTAGGAGTGAAGAAGAGCAGAATGTAAGTGTGGGGGAGGTATGTAAGGCATTACGTAGAATGAAAGGGGGTAAAGCAGCTGGAACTGATGGGATCATGACAGAAATGTTAAAAGCAGGGGGGGATATAGTGTTGGAGTGGTTGGTACTTTTGTTTAATAAATGTATGAAAGAGGGGAAGGTACCGAGGGATTGGCGGAAAGCATGTATAGTCCCTTTATATAAAGGGAAAGGGGACAAAAGAGACTGTAAAAATTATAGAGGAATAAGTTTACTGAGTATACCAGGAAAAGTAGGGTTATAATTGAAAGAATTAGAGGTAAGACAGAATGTAGGATTGTGGATGAGCAAGGAGGTTTCAGAGTGGGTAGGGGATGTGTAGATCAAGTGTTTACATTGAAGCATATATGTGAACAGTATTTAGATAAAGGTAGGGAAGTTTTTATTGCATTTATGGATTTAGAAAAGGCATATGATAGAGTGGATAGAGGAGCAATGTGGCAGATGTTGCAAGTATATGGAATAGGTGGTAAGTTATTAAATGCTGTAAAGAGTTTTTATGAGGATAGTGAGGCTCAGGTTAGGGTGTGTAGAAGAGAGGGAGACTATTTCCCGGTAAAAGTAGGTCTTAGACACGGATGTGTAATGTCACCATGGTTGTTTAATATATTTATAGATGGGGTTGTAAAGGAAGTAAATGCTAGGGTGTTTGGGAGAGGGGTGGGATTAAATTTTGGGGAATCAAATTTAAAATGGGAATTGACACAGTTACTTTTTGCTGATGATACTGTGCTTATGGGAGATTCTAAAGAAAAATTGCAAAGGTTAGTGGATGAGTTTGGGAATGTGTGTAAAGGTACAAAGTTGAAAGTGAACATAGAAAAGAGTAAGGTAATGAGGGTATCAAATGATTTAGATAAAGAAAAATTGGATATCAAATTGGGGAGGAGGAGTATGGAAGAAGTGAATGTTTCAGATACTTGGGAGTTGACGTGTCGGCGGATGGATTTATGAAGGATGAGGTTAATCATAGAATTGATGAGGGAAAAAAGGTGAGTGGTGCATTGAGGTATATGTGGAGTCAAAAAACATTATCTATGGAGGCAAAGAAGGGAATGTATGAAAGTATAGTAGTACCAACACTCTTATATGGGTGTGAAGCTTGGGTGGTAAATGCAGCAGCGAGGAGATGGTTGGAGGCAGTGGAGATGCCCTGTTTAAGGGCAATGTGTGGTGTAAATATTATGCAGAAAATTCGGAGTGTGGAAATTAGGAAAAGGTGTGGAGTTAATAAAAGTATTAGTCAGAGGGCAGAAGAGGGGTTGTTGAGGTGGTTTGGTCATTTAGAGAGAATGGATCAAAGTAGAATGGCATGGAAAGCATATAAATCTATAGGGGAAGGAAGGAGGTTTAGGGGTCATCCTCGAAAGGGTTGGAGAGAGGGGGTAAAGGAGGTTTTGTGGGCAAGGGGCTTGGACTTCCAGCAAGCGTGCATGAGCGTGTTAGATAGGAGTGAATGGAGACGAATGGTATTTGGGACCTGACGATCTGTTGGAGTGTGAGCAGGGTAATATTTAGTGAAGGGATTCAGGGAAACCGGTTATTTTCATATAGTCGGACTTGAGTCCTGGAAATGGGAAGTACAATGCCTGCACTTTAAAGGAGGGGTTTGGGATATTGGCAGTTTGGAGGGATATGTTGTGTATCTTTATATGTGTATGCTTCTAAACTGTTGTATTCTGACCACCTCTGCAAAAACAGTGATAATGTGTGAGTGTGGTGAAAGTGTTGAATGATGATGAAAGTATTTTCTTTTTGGGGATTTTCTTTCTTTTTTGGGTCACCCTGCCTCGGTGGGAGACGACCGACTTGTTGAAAAAAAAAAAAAAAAAATAATAATAATAATGCAGTTACATTAGGAAGAATGATATTGCAATACTGTATATAAAGTTGGAGAGCCAGAATCAATGAGCCAAGAAACTTACTGTGTTCACCTATGTAAGTCAAAGTAACTAAGTAGCTTTTTTTTTTTTTTTAACAAGTCGGCCATCTCCCACCAAGGCAGGGTGGGAGACGGCCAACTTGTTAAAAAAAAAAAAAAGCTACTTAGTTACTTTGACTTACATAGGTGAACACAGTAAGTTTCTTGGCTCATTGATTCTGGCTCTCCAACTTTATATACAGTATTGTAATATCATTCTTCCTAATATAACTGCATTATTATTATTATTACTAAGTAGCAATGAATATGTAAATCAAAGTAACTAAATAGCTATGAATGTGTGAAAAGTGGACACTGGGAGCAATACTAATTTCAGGGGTCCGGAGAGTGAAAGGGTTTAAGAAAAGAGGTTTGTATGTGACAAAAACAGGCATAATTATTATACAACTTCATAGAAGCAAGAGGGACATAATGTGCATGTAAGTTATACAAGGCTTTCCTGCAAAATACTGGTACTATAGAGACTATATACACACAGCCATTCCTAATATGGTTCATGGAACCCAACCACTGAAATATACTTTAAAAATCAGATTACATACCTGTCTGAAATCTTGAGGATAGGATATAGATAACTTGTTTATAGGTTTTGTAACAAATGGTGAGAGAATACTTGGTAACTTATGGTTGGATCCATTTGGCAAGTGCTCCAAGCTCCCTGCAAATGATAAACAAATTATCTCACTGTCATCACTACTTTCTTACATTCACAGGGAATGGGAGGGGATGGAGTGCTAAACCCATATGGGTCATACAGTACCTTGGGGAGTGGGAGACAATCAAGTTTGATCTGATTCATAAAAGGCAAGGTCAGGTCCAATTCCTTGGATCAAGAGCCCTCACAAGCATCAAAGAACTTCTCTTGTGAAGTGACACTGCTAATAATAAAAAAAAATCACAGGTTCAATATATATTTCTTTCTTTTGTGGTGAGCATTGTGTGTGCAATGAGTAAGACACTTTGCCCCCAGTCACCCACATTCTGTATTCATTATTGCTTCTATAACAAATTATTTAAAATAACATCTGCAATAATTATTTAAAATAATATCTCTACAAAAATAGAGAAGGTATGCAAAGAAATTAAAATACAGTACTCCCTCTATGTAACGGACTAAGGGATGTTGGGGGGGGTTATTTCTCTTAGTGTCTGTACAATCGGAATAATATTAACCTTTAAACTGTGTCCAATTTACTAGTATGCAATTGACTGTTTGCTGGTAGGGATGCTGATAGTGGAGTAACAGCTCCTGGTACCTTTGTTTATTTTTGCTAGTGAGGCATACTGATACACTGGACACACAGTCATCCCGAGTAGTTAACCATGATACACTCTGTGGACCTTGCTGGCCTTAGATTTTTTTTTTCAAATGTATGAATAGATGGCAGAAGACCCAAAGAGCTGTCCTGAGGTAAAAAAATTTGGCAGGTGGCTGATTTGCGAGTATGAAAAATGATGCACACTAGTACATCAGGCACAGTACCAGCACCTGCGTACTAGTACATAGGACACAGTTAAAGGGTTAATGCTGGTAATACCTTATTGTGAATAATTTATCAACTAAACTATCATAAGTATACAGTGGTACCTCGGGATACGAACTTAATTCATTCCAGAAGGCTGTTCGAGTGCCGATACCAAATGAATTTGTTCCCATAAGGAATAATGTAAATTAGATTAATCCATTCCAGACCCCCAAAAATACACTTACAAAAGCACTTACATAATTGTTCTAGTTTTAAGCTGTTCATATCCCAAGGTACCATTGTATATGCAAACAAAAAAAAAAAAAAGACTAATGTGGGGTTTGCTATTATCCACATTAAGTCTTGGAACACATCACATGTGGATATGGGGAGACTACTGTATACTATACTTTATGTATATATAGCCCAGTAAAATCAATCACTGACTTATTTCCATGTTTAAAGGAGTATTACACTCGGAAACAATTTGTAATATACAGCCTCTCCTCGCTTAATGACAGTTCCATTCCTGAGACCACGTCATTAAACGAATTCGTCGCTAAGTGAGGAGCATACTATACTGGTAATGAGTTTGTGTCAACCATCTCTGATATTGTTTTACTGTCACCTGTGCACCATTTATAACATTTCTGGTATATTTTTAAATGTTTATACAGTAGTGTGCTGTATACTGAAATAAACAGAATAGAGGAAATCAGCTTTAATATACATTATTTAGGTATGAATACCGGTCAGAGAGCCCCTCATAAGTCTGAGGCGTCGGTAAATGAGTACATCACTTAGTGAGGAGAAACTGTAATAAGTGTTCCTTGTACATAATGTTAGAAGACCAAAATAAAAAAAAAATTAATAAAAAACAATTATACCACAGAGTATGTTGGGCTAATAGCATTTTCCATGTATGAAGTGGTGAAATATCTTTAAATACATCTAATATCATAAGAAACTAGTGTACATAGTATTATACATTAAAAGCAATTAAAAAACAGAAAAAACAAATATCTTGGCAACAATAAATTGTAAAATGTAAATATTGCTGGCACATTTGCAGTGCTGTTGCTGATGAGTGAAATTTTTTTTCTCGTACTTCAACACAATAAAAATCATGTTTTTATCAGATATACATGTGTATGTATGTATGTTTGTATGTATATGTATGTATGTATGTGAGTGTGGGGGAGGTGCATGAGGCATTACGTAGAATGAAAGGGGGTAAAGTAGCTGGAACTGATGGGATCATGACAGAAATGTTAAAAGCAGGGGGATATATAGTGTTGGAGTGATTGGAATTTTTGTTTAATAAATGTATGAAAGAGGGGAAGGTACCTAGGGATTGGCAGAGAGCATGTATAGTCCCTTTATATAAAGGGAAGGGGGACAAAAGAGATTGTAAAAATTATAGAGGAATAAGTTTACTGAGTATACCAGGAAAAGTGTACGGTAGGGTTATAATTGAAAGAATTAGAGGTAAGACAGAATGTAGGATTGCAGATGAGCAGGGAGGTTTTAGAGTGGGTAGGGGATGTGTAGATCAGGTGTTTACATTGAAGCATATATGTGAACAGTATTTAGATAAAGGTAGGGAAGTTTTTATTGCATTTATGGATTTAGAAAAGGCATATGATAGAGTGGATAGGGGAGCAATGTGGCTGATGTTGCAAGTACGTATACGGAATAGGTGGTAAGTTACTAAATGCTGTAAAGAGTTTTTATGAGGATAGTGAGGCTCAGGTCAGGGTGTGAAGAAGAGAGGGAGACTACTTCCAGGTAAAAGTAGGTCTTAGACAGGGATGTGTAATGTCACCATGGTTGTTTAATATATTTATAGATGGGGTTGTAAAAGAAGTAAATGCTAACGTGTTCGGGAGAGGGGTGGGAATAAATTATGGGGAATCAAATGCAAAATGGGAATTGACACAGTTGCTTTTTGCTGATGATACTGTGCTTATGGGAGATAATAAAGAAAAATTGCAAAGGTTAGTGGACAAGTTTGGGAGTGTGTGTAAAGGTAGAAAGTTGAAAGTGAACATAGAAAAGAATAAGGTGATGAGGGTTTCAAATGATTTAGATAAAGAAAAATTGGATATCAAATTGGGGAGGAGGAGTATGAAAGCAATGAATGTTTTCAGATACTTGGGAGGTGACATGTCGGCGGATGGATTTATGAAGGATGAGGTTAATCATAGAATTGATGAGGGAAAAAAGGTGAGTGGTGCATTGAGGTATATGTGGAGACAAAAAACGTTATCTATCGAGGCAAAGAAGGGAATGTATGAAAGTATAGTAGTACCAACCCTCTTATATGGGTGTGAAGCTTGGGTTGTGAATGCAGCAGCGAGGAGGCGGTTGGAGGCAGAGGAGATGTCCTGTCTAAGGGCAATGTGTGGTGTAAATATTATGCAGAAAATTCCGAGTGTGAAAATTTTGGAGGTGTGGAGTTAATAAAAGTATTAGTCAGAGGACTGAAGAGGGGTTGTTGAGGTGGTTTGGTCATTTAGAGAGAACAGATCAAAGCAGAATGACATGGAGAGCATTTAAATCTGTAGGGGAAAGAATGCGGGGTAGGGGTCGTCCTCGAAAAGGTTGGAAGGAAGGGGTAAGGGAGGTTTTGTGGGCGAGGGGCTTGGACTTCCAGTAGACGTGCGTGAGCGTGTTTGATAGGAGTGAATGGAGACAAATGGTATTTGGGACCTGACGACCTGTTGGAGTATGAGCAGGGTAATATTTTTTGAAGGGATTCAGGGAAACCGGTTATTTTCATATAGTTGGACTTGAGTCCTGGAAATGGGAAGTACAATGCCTGCACTTTAAAGGAGGGGTTTGGGATATTGGCAGTTTGGAGGGATATGTTGTGTATCTTTATATGTATATGTTTCTAAACTGTTGTATTCTGAGCAACTCTGCAAAAACAGTGATAATGTGTGAGTGTGGTGAAAGTGTTGAATGATGATAAAAGTATTTTCTTTTTGGGGATTTTCTTTCTTTTTTGGGTCACCCTGCCTTGGTGGGAGACGGCCGACTTGTTAAAAAAAACAAAAAGGAAAAAAAAAAGAAAAATAATTTTTTTTTTTTTTTTCAACAAGTCGGTCGTCTCCCACCGAGGCAGGGTGATCCAAAAAAGAAAGAAAATCCCCAAAAAGAAAATACTTTCATCATCATTCAACACTTTCACCACACTCACACATTATCACTGCTTTTGCAGAGGTGCTCAGATATAATATAATACTCTACACACAGTTTACAAATTTACTGCAATAAACTTTGAAAATACGGGAGTTAAAAGTGCAATTTATCCAATGAATCTTGTCTGTTGGTTCATCTGTCCATGATACTGAGGATTTACTGAACTGTGTAAGTTTATTCAGGTACAGGTATACATAAATAGTTACATAAATTATCATACATAGCATCATCATACACAGCTTATTCTTTATTTTTTATTACTGTACATGACACTGCATTTACTATATCCAAGTCTTTTTTCCAATATTCCATAAATTGAAAAATAACACACACACAATTTAAAGTGCAGTAAAATATTATTTTTTTAAGAATCTTGAAACAATTTTTAACAAACAAATTACCTTTATGTTGGACAATGATCTTAAGTACTGGACGGGCACACTGGAGTGCTTTTCTAAAATTATCATCATTGGTAATAGGTAGGAGGTCGCCATCACGAGGATCTGTGTATGATAACACAAATGCTATATTGGCTAGTCTGTGCAGTTCTTCCACTAGCCTCCGAAAATCTTCAAGTTTCTCATACCTGTCTCGTTCAACGCTAAAACGGCGGAACTCTGCATCAAACTGTTAAACCAAAAATACTGTATTAGAAAAGGAAGAAAATGTACTAATGTAATCAAAACAAGAGGAGTGTATTTCAGTTGCTCTATGAACAAACTGGAAATCTAATTTAGTGATGTATAAATGAGCTTTGTGTGACACCACAGCTGCAGGTACATTATAGATGGAGAAACATGATGAATAAAATCAAACTGTAACAATGTACAAGGGGTGAAGACATGAAAAAAATGGCAACTGGAATGACAAGAATGTCCACAGAATTCATAAGATCAAAAACATTTTTTGAGTGCTTTCGAGCTTGATCTTTAGGCTCAGCAAGACTGCAAAGTACATACATCATTTCTAAACAATGACAGATAACTAGGCAAACACAGTATAATACAGCTGCTATATTAGCTAATATTAATATTATATGACATCAGAAAGACTGAAATAACTTTCCTCATGATAATCATCATAATATTTCTAAGAGCAACAGCATCAACCAATGTGGTAATGGTACGACAATCATGTACATTAGAAAACCTTAAGTCAGGCACACACAGCTCATTTTTTCAACAATCTGTGATATAAATTTAGTTTTTCATTTCCAATAGAAGCACACTCATTTCCATTAACGCACACAAGAGTGGCATTCACTTCCACGGGTGGAGTACATTTCTGCTAAGGAGTGCTATGGCAGGCAAGCAAGAGACTTATAAGTATGCACTGGGCAACTCGACTGTTTTACCAGGGGATGGTTCATAATGGATGTGAACATACAGCCTCCCATGAGGGTCAGTGTATCATTGCTCAGTTTTTTCTTTCTTTTCATCACCCCCAACTTGTCTTTGGTATCCAAAAGTAGTAGTGAAGCAAGAAAATTAAGCATGAAACTATGCCTTTTTTGCAAAATATTAGTTAACTGAAGATTCCAAAGGGAGGATCACACCATGGAGATGGCATAAGTATTTGATGTCAAGAGAATCAATGATTCATTCAATTATTATAAAAAAAAGAAGCACTAAACCTACAAGGGTCGTATACTGCATGATTCATTCAAGATGAGCCAATTCTACTGCTATGAATCCTGTTTTTGTTAGTACTTTCGACATGTAATTTATGGCCCCTATATTTTTTCATGTTTTCCATCTTTACACTTCAATCATATCTCCCTAATTCTACATCTTCATAGTGTAAATTCAGTCCTCAGCTTATCTTGAGAGGAAAGGCTACTGATACAAGGACTCAACTTGGCCATCCTCCTCTGTATATTTTTCCAGTGCTTTTATGATCAGTATACTCTAAATGAAGACTTAACAAATACACACAAATTTGAGGTATAACCTTATGTACTGTTAACTGGTAACTATGGCCAAACTGCAGCATAAAAATAAAAATACTAATTAAATAATCATAAAAATATTTTGTTACTTTATATACATTATTATTATGAATATTTTTATAATTACGAATGAGGCCAAAATTTCATTGCAACATTAAGTATTGCCCCTACTTATGCTGCTCCCCCGGCCCAGCACTCCTTTGTCATTACTCAATTTGCCTATGGTAAACTTGTGTGTTGTAAACTCATTGTTTTTGACTATGATGAGTGTGTGTAACCACAACAACACCTGTAATGACTCACCTGTACACCCAGTGAATGGAAAAGAAAGTTTCAACACCCACCTTGCTCTTCACTTCTATCAATGTTCCTTGGGCTCTACTCTGTGTTTTGGAACTTCTTGACATTTTCAAGTTAGTCGTCGAGTTAATCAGCTTATCAAAATAGCACTGTTAGTGTGTGGTTTACATTTTAAAGCCCATTTTCAGCCAAGGATTTGCAGTGTTTTGGTGTGACAGCCATTATGTGACGTCACAACTCTCGCCTATACAAAACTTTTTAAAACCATTGAACAATAAAAGACAACTTATTGCAAAATTTATTGGTCATATACCACTAAAATTAAATTTTATTCTTTAGGAAATGATTGCATTATTGGTGATAGGCGTGAAAAGGATTTGTTATGAAATTGATTTTGGTATGAAGACAGCATAGGTTATGGCAGCGGGAATTTCAAACGTCCATATAATCACCTGATATCTAATCTTCTGTCTGTCCATCTATCTATCTGTCTGTCTATCTACTTTGTTCTATATATTTGTCTACCTCTCTGCCTATATAAATATGTATATGTTCTCTATACATGGCTCGGTTGGCAACGCTTTTGCCTCACACATCCGTGGTTCAGTATTTATTATAATTTTCTTATAATCTTACCAAATTTTCCCTTTGCTCCCAAACTACAAATAACCAACTAGTGTATGTTCCTACTACACTACTGTGCAGTTCCTTGTACCATCTTTCACTAGCTAGTATCAACTATCTCAAAAATTCTTTTTGTGATATTAATTGCTCAAACTTGATGCTATAAGGCAAATCCTACTCACAAGTTAATTTCATATCAGAGTGACTATTTATCGTTTAAAGTTGTTTAACACTACTTAATTTAGTCCCTTTTTACATTTCTCCTGAAATAATTCTCTATATACCAATACATTGTACTGCCCTTTATTCAGTAATTGCTATACTCTTAGTTTTAATAACAACTAAGGGGCCACTTTCAGGTGTTTTAATATTTTTACCTCTTGTCCATATAGTCACATTTATTAAAATACTCCAGGTGCTACTGACTATCTCAGGTGCTACTGTTTTATTTTTTTAATTCATTCTTTGATTATTATATTCACTAGCTCCTTTATTTTAGCTGTAAATATCTACCGTAGTTCATAAGCTCACATTTTTTAAAATAATTAAGATGCTACTTAGATCCCAAAGTGTATAACTGAATTACCTATACTATAATAATCCACAGTTCTTTTATATTTTTAAAAGTTTTAGAATAATTACATAGTATTATTCCTAAGTCTAGTTGTAGATTCAATATAACTCTTATATTATTTTACTCAGAAAATCTAGTTTGTAAAATTACTCTCATCCTATGATTACAGGCATAGATCCTACAGGCTAAGATAAGATTTCGTTCGGATTTTTAATCCCGGAGGGTTAGCCACCCAGGATAACCCAAGAAAGTCAGTGCGTCATCGAGGACTGTCTAACTTATTTCCATTGGGGTCCTTAATCTTGTCCCCAAGGATGCGACCCACACCAGTCGACTAACACCCAGGTACCTATTTGCTGCTAGGTGAACAGGACAACAGGTGTAAGGAAACGTGTCGGAATGTTTCCACCCGCCGGGAATCGAACCCCGGCCCTCCGTGTGTGAAGCGGGAGCTTTAGCCACCAGGCCACCGGGCCACCGTTGTGACATAAACAACTTGCCTGCTTTTATCTACAAAAAAGCTTCTCAAGTATTGTCACCAATTATTGCAACACTCTTTAACAAGTCCATTGAATCATCTACCTTACCAACAATCCTCAAAATAGCGAGGGTCACTCCAATCCATAAAGGAGGTGACCAAGCTGACTTGAATAACTATAGACCAATATCTAACTTACCAGTGCTCTCTAAAATCTTTCAAAAATTAATTCATAGACGGATCTATTCCTACCTCGTCTCACATAACATTAAACCCTTGTCAGTTCGGATTCAGGAATAATAAAATCACAAATGATGCTATCATACACATGCTAGAATTAATATATACCGCACTCGAAAAGAAAGAAGTCCCGCTGGGCATTTTCATTGATTTACGTAAAGCTTTTGATACAGTCAACCACGAACTGCTGTACTCCAAATTAACGCACTATGGTATCAGAGGCGAGTCCTCAACTACCTAAAGTCATACCTTAGTAACAAAACTCAATATGTGTATGCAACCAATCACAGCAGGAGTCCCACAAAGGAAGTGTCCTTGGACCACTCCTCTTTCTCATCTACATGAATGATCTACCGAATGCATCACAGCTACTCAAATCCATATTATTTGCAGATGACACAACATACGTCTTCTCCCACCCAAACCCAGTCATACTAGCAAACACTGTCAATGCCGAATTGCAGAAAATATCTGCCTGGATGATGACTAATAAACTTACCCTGAATACAGATAAAACTTATTTCATTCAATTTGGAAACAAAGCTGCAAATCTTCCAATTAACATAACACTAAACGGATCATCAGTCACAAGACTTACAGAGGGAAAATTCCTAGGTATCCACCTTGACAGTAGCCTTAAGTTCCAGACACACATACAACAAATCACAAGATTTGTAGGCATACTATCAAAGATAAGGTACTACGTTCCACAATCAGCTCTCCTGGCACTGTACCATTCACTCATATACCCTTACCTCACCTACGGAATCTCGTGCGTGGGGATCAACAACATTCAATCACCTAAGACTTCTAATAACCCAGCAAAAGACAGCAGCAAGAATGATAATAAATTCCCACTCCCGCCAGCATACTCCAATTTTCAAAAGTCTGAATCTGCTCACCATTAAGAACATCCATACTTATTCATGTGCCTACTGCATAGACAGAATAATACCTGGAGTTTACCTGGAGAGAGTTCCGGGGGTCAACGCCCCCGCGGCCCGGTCTGTGACCAGGCCTCCTGGTGGATCAGAGCCTGATCAACCAGGCTGTTGCTGCTGGCTGCACGCAAACCAACGTACGAGCCACAGCCCGGCTGGTCAGGAACCGACTTTAGGTGCTTGTCCAGTGCCAGCTTGAAGACTGCCAGGGGTCTGTTGGTAATCCCCCTTACGTATGCTGGGAGGCAGTTGAACAGTCTCGGGCCCCTGACACTTATTGTATGGTCTCTTTACGTGATAGTGGACACCCCTGCTTTTCATTGGGAGGATGATTATGCATCGTCTGACCAAGTCTTTTGCTTTCGTAGTGAGGATTTTCGATGTGCAAGTTCGGAACTAGTCACCTCTAGGATTTTCCAGGTGTATATAATCATGTATCTCTCCGCCTGTCGTTCCAGGAATACAGGTTCAGGAAACTCAGCGCTACCAGTTAATTGAGGTGTTTTATCTCCGTATGGCGCGCCGTGAGGTTCTTGTACATTTTCTTGGTTCAGCAATTTCACCTGCCTGAAAGGTGATGTAGTGTTGCAGCAATATTCCAGCCTAGATAGGAACAAGTGACCTGAAGGTGTCATCATGGGCTTGGCCCTCCCTGTTTGAAGGTTCTCATTATCCATCATGTAATGTTTCTAGCAGATGCGATTGATACAATGTTATGGTCCTTGGGAGGTGAGATCCTCCGAACATGATCACTCCCAGGTCTTTGACGGTTGGTGTTTCCGCTCTTAATTTTGTGGCCAGAATTGTTTTGTACTCTGATGTAAGATTTAATTTCCTCGTGTTTACCTTATATGTAGTAATTGAATATTTCTCATCGTTTGAACTTCATATCTGTTTTCTGCAAGCCCACTTGAAAGATTCGGTTTGATGTCGCCTGGAGCTTGCTGTGTCTGCAATGGAGAAAACCTCTGTTCATGCAGATTCGGGGCTCATCTCAAGGAAGACCACGGTGCTGCTGTGGCTGACATCCTTGTCTATGTCGGATATGGAGCGAGTTACTGTGCCTGGGCGATCAGGCTTTTCACGTAGCTGCCTCGGACTTTACTCTGTTGACGACTACTCTTGTGTTCTGGTTAGCTGAGGAAATTATAGATCCAT